GGGGGAGCCGCTTTCTCCCGGCGCACCCCACCCCCCGCCCCCGGCACGGTGCTTCTCGTCGGGGGACGTGTGCGGGCCCTGCTGCTCTGCTCCGGGCCTCGTCTGGCATCCTCCCAGCACCGCTTTCCGTGGCCAGCAGCTGCGCTGCGAGAGCTGGGCCTTGGCTCGGCAGACACTTGGAGCCGGCCGCGCTCCCTGGACAGAACCGGGGACGTGGAGGAGGAGCACTGCTGCAGAGGACAGCGCGCAGCCCTGCCCGTTCCTGCAGAAGGTGCTGTAGCCGGTGGGGTGCCTGCACCGGCTTTGCAGCGAGACCCACGTGGCCACCGATGGCGTGGGATCGCAGCTGAGTGCCCCCAGGCCTGCCCGTCCTCTGGGCCCTGGTGCTTCGAGCAGCGATGCTCGGTCCAGACCTGCCCAGGAGCAGTTGGTGCCGGTCGAGGCGCCTGGCTGGCATGGCCCCCTCAGCGAACCGCAGGCAGCACGCGCCGTGCCTCGTTAGCCCATGTTTGCATAGTCCGGTGGCAGCCAGCCTTGCACCACAGCTGCTGGGGACAGCGCGCGGGTGCTGCTTGGTTGGTTGCATGCTTGGTGCTTGCGGGGAAAGCGCTCCGTAGCACCTGCAAAGAGCCACCGTCGGGCACGCGTCGGTCTGAACGTTTGCTCTGCCTGGGGCTGCCCCAGCTGCTCTGTCTCCAGTGTAGCAGAGGTGGAGAGGCTTGCAGGATGGGCAGTGCCCGGGGCACAGGCTGCCCCAGGCTGGATTGAGCCGGGCTCTTCTCATCCTGTCCAGCACCAAGAGAAGCCCACGGCAGGCCCCGCGGGGCAAGGTACTTTGCCTTGCACAGGGGCCTGCTCAGCATTAGCTGTTGGCTTAAACCCTGCAGCCGGGCTGAGGAAGGTGGCACCCAGGTCAGACCATTGGTGGTAGCTGCGCCACTTGCCCCGGCTTGCCCATGACTCCTTTCCGCTGAGGCGAGTGAAGCCTTGCCCTCCATGAAGGACCACGCCGTTACCAGAGCCTGCGGTGGATTCACGGTGCTCCGCGGGTGTTTGCTACTCTGTGGGGCTGACTCCTCCGCTAGCCAGGCCTGTCCGCGTGTTTGCCGGGCACCAGGGTGGAGAGACCTGGGTGTCAGACCAGGGTGGAGAGACCTGGTTCCCAGGGGCCTTGACTGGATGCAAGGATTGGGGTTGGGGCTGGAGAACTGGGGGCAGGCAGCCTCCATAAGAGACGCAGCTGCTCGGCCACTGCTCCCTGCAGCGTGCTGGGCGCTGGCTGCCCTGGATATCAGCCAAGCGGGTGGAAGAAGCTGCCTCTTCCATGGGGGTCACTGGCACAGCCCACGAGTGCCCGGCTCCTGGGAGCTGTGAACCGCGTGGCACAGGGACACTTGCTTCCAGTGCACGGAAGCTGGTCCGGTCACAAGCGCAAGCAAGAAGGCGGGGAAGCCAGCTGGGCTCTGCTTAGCGTGCCCCTAATATGCTTATGATGGCAGTTGTCCTGGCTGTCGGTGTCCTGTCAGCGTGAAGCTCTCCGTGGCTGCCCGCTCTGTGCCAGGGGGCACGTCTGGGGCAATGCCCGTGTTCTGGGGCTGCCTGGCAGGCTCAGCTTTGGCCTGGGTGCTGCAGAAGGCAGCTGCAGCCTTGTCTTGGCTGGTAGCTGGGCCCTTTCGCTTGCTGCGCAAGAGAGGAAAACCTTACCACTCGATTAACTGGGGATTACCAGGGCTGGGGGCAGATTGCGATGAGTTAGCAGCCCAGCAGGAGGGCAGAGACGTCTGTCTGCCTCCTCACAGCCCTTTCTGAGCAGGTAGCCAGCCTCTTGCTGGCTCTCCTGACTGAGGCCTCACAGGGGCAGTGTGCTGCCCACATTGCTGGCACCTAGGCATCCCCCCTGCACGTGTCCTGACCTGGACTGTGGGCTCCCCTGGCCATGCCGGGTGTGGAGCCAACGGGTGTGTAGGGGATGGGGTCTTGCTGACTTAGAAGAAGTCTTTGCCTGACCTACTAAGGCTGATCTGCGAGGGTCCCGGGCACCTGCAACTGGGCAGCCCCCAGGTGTGGCAAGGGAAGCCCAGCCCTGCACTTGGTCGTGACCAGACTAACCCCAAGGGTGGGTGAGGCCCCAGTGAGCGGCATTGGACTGTGCCCTGTTACAAGCCCTCATCCACCCACAGTCCATGCCGTCGGGGTTGTGGTCGAGGCAGCGGTGCTGGGCTGCCCGGGGCTGGCCCGGCCCCACGAGCCATGCTGTGGTCTGGAGCGGCAGGGAGCCCCTTGCCGTGCGCCACCCCCCCGC